TACCAAATATAAATAAAACCAAACAGTTACATTATTTTTATTTTGTCCACCAGCATTATCACAAGTAATCTTTAAATACTTTTCACCTTTGTTCAATTTCTTAATTCCATCAAAAACCATGCTAAGAGTTCCATTGGGTCCTTTTCCTATAATCTCATTTTCATTAAGAACATAATTAATTTGTTCCCTTACTGCTTCATCTTGAATACCAAATAAATGAACCTTACATGGACTAAGATAATAAATTTTACTTACTTGTTGATCTAAATGTGGCACATGAACATTTTGGGCTCAATCATAACTGTAATGAGCAGTGGCATCAATGCTGCAATATTGCATTTTACTCTTGGAATAATTTTGATTAACTAATTTTCTTTGCTCTTCTGCTAATTTGGTATTTTTATTATAATAATTTCTTTCTAATCTTGCCTTGGACAAATGTTCTTTAAATCTTTTAAGTAATTCTTTGGCTTCTTCTTCTTGGTGAGCATTGTAATGTAAACCATCTCTAAAATGTTGACAAGTATCACACAAGTCAGTTCTTGGACTCATAATTTGAATTTCTGGTATCAATTGATGTCACAACTTCCTGAAGGCATCATATTTTAAGGATTTCAATTTGTTATCTTCTTCCAGACCAGCTAAAAAATCTCTATGGACTGATTTATAACTCATTTCAGCTGGTAAGAATGTAATTGATTGAGTTATTCTATTGTTGCTTCTTCCTGGACTTGGTAATCCATGGACTTCAGCATAATTTTCTAGAAAATTCTTTACCACTTCAGCAACATTTTTATCAATTATGTTGAGATAAGTTTCTTGACAAAGGAGTGTATTGTGATCTCAGTGATAGAAAGTTCTTTTATTAGATCTGATTTTCTTTTTAAGGCGTCTGCTGGTACTTGTTGATCCACCATCCATGGCTTTAAGTTGGGCCATTAAAAATATGTCTTGTTCAGACTTGGAAAGAGCTTGAAAGGATTCCCTTAATTCTGCAAATCCTTCTTTGGGGATTCTTGAAGAACAACCACATTTACAACCTTTTTCTAAAAAATCAATTGCTTTTTGATATTCATTAGAACCATTATATTTATTATTATTTTTCATATACACCTATCCCTATATATATAATTATATAATTTTATGTTCACTTTGTATGTTTTTCTAGGATTGTTTAATAATTTTTTAGCATTAAAAATGGATGAAAAATCTGTCCAGTTTATCATAAAATGCTTGTCAATCTTGACCAAAGAAATACAAATAAGGAAATTGTTTGCATAAAAAAACTATGAACCTTTCTTATATATATGTATATTATCTTTAGTTTTACAAATATGTCATTTTCGTTTTGAATGAATCTAAATAAATTGGGTGGAATTAAGAGTTGTGTATTTTTAAAAAGGAAAAAACAATAATATTTGACGATCTTATTTTTTTTAAAAAAAAAATGTATACATGTTGTGATACATGACTCGGCTGCAATAATTAATTAAGAAAATTTTATTTTCTGTTACATTAAAACAGATAACAAATAAACAATTTTTTGAACGATTAAATAATTAAATGAGATTTATTTGATCATACTAAATAGATCAACAAATAATAAATGATTATTTAGAAAATTATTGTTATTCTAAAAAAAAAAATGAAGAAAATCGTTGAAATTTATTATTTGTATTTGATTATGTTAAAACAGTAAAGCTGGATTTTTCTTTTATCAAAAATGCAAAAAAATTACATGTGCAAAATTTCGTTTCCTAAAAAAATTTTTGCTGTACAGTGCATGTCACAATAATACATCCAAAATAATTGGTCTTCTTAAAATTGACATGGATCAAATTTCCATGCACTTTTTGAAAAAAAAAACAACGTTAATCAATTATTTTAGTTAAGAGCTATTGAGCTATGTTGAGCCTTTTTAAATAAGTTCAGTGTAACAAGAGTCATGTCAGGTTAAAGTTTGAAAATTCTATTATAAAATTTATAAAATTTTGAAATTGGCACCTTATAATTTTGGCCAATTTTGTCTAATGCCGACCCGACTTATAAAATAAAATGTCGCGTATCAATTTAATTAATTCGCGTAAATTAAATCACAATATGGGTTCCATGCTAACAAAAAGATAGTTCGGGTTCAAGAACCCCAAAATGAGTTGTTGATACCACTATATTCTT